GTGATATGCTCAAGTAAATTAAAGCTGCCGCTACCTGATTTCCATTTCTAGAAGGCAAAGGTTTGCCCGCCTGGCAAGGAAATGCCCCATTTTTTTTCTAGACATGGAGGAGTTTGCTTCTTTGGTATTCCCTTACCCAAGTGACAGATTAACCCTTTCTGTTGTAGCAAGCCAAGACTAATAATAGTGCCTCCTTGGCATTCACTTCAACTCAGGGGAGGGGAGGTTAAAAAATCCCCACCTTTCACCCTTTACTCCTGACACAAGTTACCAGGTGGCCTTTGAGTAGGTCACAGTCATTGTTGTTGCCATGGTGCAAGTGTGGTGGCCATTTTGAAGACAAGTAGGAAAAATGAGAAGAATCTCCCTGCTCCAAAGAGCATCTTGTCTAAACAGGCCCCACACTTCAACTCAGGGGAGGGGAGGTTAAAAAATCCCCACCTTTCACCCTTTACTCCTGACACAAGTTACCAGGTGGCCTTTGAGTAGGTCACAGTCATTGTTGTTGCCATGGTGCAAGTGTGGTGGCCATTTTGAAGACAAGTAGGAAAAATGAGAAGAATCTCCCTGCTCCAAAGAGCATCTTGTCTAAACAGGCCCCATATGGTTGGTAAACCAAAGTAGCAGGAATATTTATGGCACAGTTTGTTAGGTCCATTCATGTATTTCTCCATTTCTGTTTCCTAACTCCTGTTTTAGCTGGTGGGCAGGACGAGGGCTTTCAAAACCCTTCTGGCAGGAGTGAATCTGAAGAAGGAAATCTTGTGGAGGAGGGAGAGAATGTGTGCATGACGGTAGCATGTAAAGACACACTGATGACAGCAGGACTTATGTAAAATTGCTAGGCTTCAGAGTCTCCGTTCCACCACCAACATTGACTACAGGTGACTCCTGACTTACAACTGCCAGACGTACATTTACAACCATTTTTTTCATGCAAGATAGCCCCTAACACCCCCAATTTACGTACACCGCTTGTATTTACAATGGCATACGACGCAGACTCCACACGTCATCCCAACAGGAAATGCACAAGGTCAGTCAGACTCACCAGTCTGCAGCTGCTGCTTGACCTGCGCACACCTCTACCACATCAGTTTTCACTTTTTAGTTTTCCTCAATTTAGGTATTTTTAGAGTATGAAATAGGTTTCCAGGAATGGAACCACCATTTATAACATTGCGCCTATGGGAAATAAGGGTTCAACTTACGATGGCTTGACTTACAATGGTTCTCCAGGAACCAACTAGGTCGTAAATGCGGGGGTTGCCTGTACATGGCTATTTTAGTGCACTAGGCTGAGCCCCACAAATTGAGCTAGGAGGCTTAAGACCGTAAGCTGTGTAGACTTAGTCCTAGCGAGATGGATGGCTTCTGGCAGTCCGACTCCAGCATCAGTGAAACATGTTCAGAGCTCCCATGCTGCCTGAGTCTTTCTCGCTCTGGGCCACTCACCAGTGCTCAGACTAGATTTAAATGTGAATCTCAAGATAAAAGCTCCACAAGGTGTCAGAGCCACATCTAGGATCCCCGCACAAGGCTGCTAACACTGGAGAGTGTGTTTAGCTAGAAACTTCTCTGTGCAGACAAGGGCAATTAGTCATGATGCTTGTATAATGCTGACAGACCCTGGTTGCCGGCAGGTGGGACCAAACCTGGGACCTCTGAAGCCAAGTGCATGAGCCTCTACTGCAGGGCTGGGCAAGAGAGCTTCTGTGGGCTGGATCCGGCCCACCAAGCCAGTTGATCCAGCCAGTAGCTGCCCTGACATTCCCCGCCCCCAGGCCAATCGAGCCCTGGGGATGGGGAAGCACGTAAATTCTACTCCCTCCCTGGGGGTGTGTGGTGCTGGCAGTTCTCTCTAGGTTCTGGCAGTTCTCTCTAGGTGCAGGAGGGGGGGAGGCGGGGGAAAGACTTCAAGCGCTCCCCTGCCCCCAGGCCAATAAGGGTCTGTGTGTGGGGGAGCACGGGAAGTGTCCTGGCCCCAGCCCTTCCACCCAAGGACCCAGGACCACTTCAGAAATTTCCTTCCCCCCCTCTAAAATTATTGCCTACCTGGCTCTGAGCCAAGGCTATAGCAGATTCAGTCTTTAGGTGGCCGAGGTGCTCCTAGAAGGGACAGAGCGTCACACCATGCAGGCATGGGTTACATGTGGAAACAGCAAAGGTGTGTGAAGAGAGATAAGTAAAAAGGGAGACAGAAACTGGAGCATTTGCACGGGACGTTGTGGAGACTGAACAGAGAATTTCACAGGGAAACCGACAACCAAGATGGAGAGAAGCAAAGCCCAACATTAGAAGGGAAATTGGGTGTGCAGCCAAACTGTGGTTGTTTTCTTCTTTTGCTATTGCTTTGGGCCTTGGCAGCTACAGCCCAGTGCCTTCCTACATCAGATGATGCCCACATCTCATCTTTGCGACTAGCCTGCCATATCTGCATGCTACAGGTTGTATGTGTAATCACTTCAAACCATGCAGGAGAAATCTGTAAACCAGGCAAAACTGCCATGTACTGAATGCACTGGGTTTGGCTTCAGATGTTGAACTAAAAATATTGAACTCTGCCCAAAATGCCTAACAAGATTTCTAAAATAACATCTCTCTCACTCCAGGAGCTTAAACTACCAAGAGATCCTATTTCTTCCACAAAAGTTTCCAAAGATAAAGCGAATACCTCATTTTCCTTTTGGCAATGTCAGAAACAACGTCGAAATGAACTTGAAATGCATTCCATTTCTAGGGGACTGTTGCGATTTCCCATCACTCCTTATGACGCTAATTATACACACAAGACATCTTCATCTGCACGGAGCAGAATAGCTCAATGTACGGTGGCGTTCGCTCAGCATAGATCCTTGCATTCCTGAGCGAGTCAAGCGTGCCTTGTAACTGCACACTCAGCAAGTTTCGGATGTGCTTCTCCAAGACTAGCTTGCTTTCTTCTTCCCCCTGCTCCTCAGCTCCCACTCTTCTTCCCAAAGCATAAGTCTTTCCAGAAAACAGAGATGATTTCCATCTAATTCCTTCATCTGGCTACATTACCCATCTCTTCTGCACATTTTGCTCCTTTCTTGTTTAATCATATTTCACCATCACAATAAAACAGTGATATTCATGAAGCATCTCCCTATCAGCGTGCCTCACCCTTCACCTACCAGCGCAATGCAAACGGGAACACGTAGACTCAAACAAAGTCATACACCTTCCAATTATAAATACATGCTACTTAATAAATCTCAAGAACTCTATACTCGCCTATATTGGCTAAAACAACAAA